CTCCTTAAGAATAGGGAAAATAGAGGTTGGACGAGATTGCCATGACGGAAATAACTGGAATGGGTACTCAGACGAGATTCCAGTTGTTGCAGCTGCGCAAAGAGCTGAGCAAAAGCCAAAACTGTCCGGAATTACCTTAAACTGTCTCTAGGGGTCATGACAAGTTGTTTGAGCTTCCTACATTGGTTCTCTTGTGATTAGTACAGCCACTACAGTGCCGGCGAAACTCGTCCGAGGATACAACGGTGTAACCTTTGAGTCCTTATACTCACTAACTAGGCGGTTTCCGACCTAATAGTGCCAGATATGGTATGCGAGGCTACCTCGAAGTTATACTATGAGGAAACCTCAGAAACCATTTTTATCGTGAACTGTGCCTTCAAGACATATGTACGTACATATCATGGACATACGTACATACACCCAACCAGCTAGTGGGAGTAACAGCCCCTGTTCGGTAAATCGAACCAGTTGGGGTTTAGTTTGAAGAGTTTGAGCTCAGTGGAACAACTTGAAAAGGACTTGTCCAGGGGTGGAAATGGATTTGATCCTTGACTAGATGGATTAGCAGATATTCTTGTCTCATTGATAGCCAACTCCTCATTCTGATGCTCGGCTAGGGCTATCGCAGGTCACGATGAACGGCCTAATTCCTTCAGCATAGTCGCCAGAGTTTATTTAGATAGTAATGACTTTGATTTGAAACTCCTCAACGCGGCCTTAATTATGGCTTGTGTCGGTCGTGTAGATGGGAATCACGAGATTGTGATTCCGCCCGGCTAAACACAACTAAAAGCGACCCTCGTGCCCATTCCAAGACATTTGGACCAATTTTTGGTCGCCAATACTGAGCTAGAAAAGCCTCCCATTGGACCTCCTTTCTTCTAGGTAACGCACATCTTCAGACCAAATTGTTTCGCGCTTCATACATTCCTAGTCGCTCCATGAAAGATGGCTGCCCGACCTTCGCCGTCTCCATTCCTCAATAGTCCCCAGGGATATCCAAAGTGGTAATAGACGACATAACGTGTAGCTCACGTCTCTGTCATAAGTCATTCCATGTCATAGAAAAATAAAAGCAACACTCCAGAATAGGACGGGGTTTGGGGAAGAAGAGTAGAAGAAGGTGGTCAAGGGAGCAGGCTTCCCCATTCTCCAAACCAGGACCAAAATGTTTGCTATGTTGCGAATACGAAACCCGAGCTCTGGCATCAAATAGGTGAGCAAAGTCGATTGAGAGCTGCCAAAATCAACTTTAAGTTGTGCCACAAGTGAAGGATAGCAACTGCTCTTTAGTACTTGAAAATCGGAGGATCTGTGAAGTGGGATGGATGCCTCAGGGTCACCCAATTCTATTGGGTTATGCGTCTACAATAAAGACGAGTGGTAAGTTGGCATTCTTGATTATTACTGCTGATCTTTCTCATGGTACCGAGTGGTCTCCCAAACGTCTCCCAATAAAACAAGCAAAATCTAATGAAGCTAAGAACTCTCCACCTGCTCGTAGAACTTCGTTTTTGGCAGTTGAGTACTATACTTCGGAATACTCCAGAATAATGAATGATATAGGAGTAAAGAACGCGAGAATAGGAATCTGCATCAAAACGGTCATGGTGCAGTTCATAAGAATTTCCAGTAGAATATCCCTCTAGGCTAGAAGAAAACCCTGAGGTGAAATTTCTCGAACGACAAAAGGGAGCGAGAGTGCATCCATGAGAATCCGTCCGGATCGTTTCATATTTCTGAGCGAGACGCGTTGAATCGTTTTTCGACCACCCTTGATATTTCAAATATTTTATCCACCTAAACATTTATTTACAAATTCTTTCACAGTGCCACCACTTCTGAAATATAATTCGGCCCGGGAGGGCTAATCTCTCAGGAAAAAGAAAGCAGAATTCTTCGATTTTGTCTTAAGATCGATGGTCTCCGCTCGTTTTCAAGCGGATGAAAGCAAATCGCCATCGGCCAGGCCACGGTGAAAAACCTCGCCGATGTTGGCGGCTTGAGTTACTCTCGTCGTTAGCGGAAATTTCATCCATTTACCGTCTGCCTCCGGGCATTTGTGTGTGGGTGAGCATCGCAAAGTGAACAAAGGATTTCGGAAAAAACAAATAAGCATACGTAAACATTCCATAACCTCGAAAATTCGAGCTTTTCAGTGCGGAATGAAATTGGCTTCCGAGCAAAGTTGAAGGAAGCGCCTTGGTGAACCTATTGGATCCACTCCTGGCACTTCCAACAAAGCGTAATGTGCCTCAGGCAAGACTAATGGAAAGAATCGGTAACCAAATTATGCTGTCTTGCTCAGAAAAATTAATAAAGAGCTTTAATTTTACATAATTACCTCAGTAGGCAGGCTTCTTAGTTATTTAAGAAAAACAAGGACGTCGCTTAGAATAAATGCGGTCAAATTCGCAATTGACTCCATGAAAATGAGTGAGCAGAGTGAGGAACCAACCTGCTGATCCAGCTCTTCTTAGGCTCATGGTGATGCATCTGCAGCATTGCCAATGGCGATAGAATTGACACCTTTGTCATCGGGTCCACCATGGTGCTAACGATATTGCGGTACGAATGTGTTAGATGCTTCGAGTCAACAGAAACAGCAGTATCTCTTCGGCGGGGCGAGAATCCATGGGTGGTAAGCGAACCTGCACTCGACAAAATTCATATTGACGACTAATATTCGCCATATCTTTTTTTCGAAAATAAGATCCGACTACGGTACAGATGACGACGACGATGACGGAAGAGAAGAGAGTTGTCAGGAAGCTCGAAATAATCTTCCGTTCACCTCATAGCTTGCCATCGTCGTCATCAGAACTTCACCAAATTCAAGGCAAATAAAAAGCTTTCAAAGTACTGACAAAATATGGCAAGAATCAATTTTGAAGGAACACCGTAATGAGAAAAGTGTGTGAGCATTTTGGAAAGGAGACGTGGAAGAAGAGATGAGGGAAATCCGAGTAAAGCAATCTGTTTGTGGAGTAGCCATGAAATAGTAGGCAATTGGGAGTTTGTATCTGGAAAATTGAGAGGGGCAAGTTAGTGAGACGAGCCTACACATGCTTGCCCCTACGGCAATACTCCAGAACGCTGGCACAATTCCAAGAAGTAGTCAACTTCGTGGACTGAATTGCCAATTAACGGGGCAATTTTACCGACGTTGGCTCGTATCGTAGCTTCTAAGACGACGTAAATGTATTTAGTACCACCATGTTCTACGCTTGAATGCATAATTGCCCAAATGGTGTCAATGGAGCGTCAAGGAAGCCTCTAAAAAAATGCTCAAATGAAAAATCAGCGGATATTGGGTCGAAATTGCCCTAAGGTCAACGCTACCGGAAGGGTACCGGAAGAAAACTAAAAAAAAGTCGAGTTGAAACTTCCGTTTAGAGTGTAGATCCAAAAAAAGCTGTTTTTGGTCGCTCTCTGTGTGGCCGTTTTCAGATTTCAGGCCATTCCCACTAATTCCCCTCTAAATCTGTCAGTTTGATGAGAAAAGAAAACTTGAAGAGCTTATTTATGCATGAGATGCAGGTTCGAACCTAGACCTTACTAAGGAGAGGCTCTGATCGATTATAAGGATACAAGTCCAGATTGGTTCGCACTCTAACCGGTACCCAATCTAGCACCTTAGTGAAGAGTTTGTTCGATGCTCCAGAGTTCTGCATGCCAAATGTGCAACCTTTCCAA